AGTTTGTAATAAAAATTTTAATCAATTCCATCGGTTACGTATATTATCTAATTTGAAGGAAAATCGGAGAAAACATTCGTAAAGTATATGATATAGAGTAGGCAGTTAAAAGCACCCACTTGCTCGCCGCCAGCGCTTCGGTCGTTTCGTTTCCCTGGTTTATCAGCTCTCTTCGCCACCGCCAGCGGCTCTCTTCCCCTCAGGAAGGTGTATTTTCGTGTGGAGGAGCGATTTTCCGACAATGAATAGTACGTCTCCAGCGCACTCATCAATATCAACAACAGCCATTGTGGGAGGAGGAAGCAGCGGGAATGCTGCTCCCGATGATTTCCATTTCCCCTCTGATCTCATCTCCATCCAAGACCGCAAGGACGAGGCCATGCGTGGTTATTTTTCTCTCCTCGCACTTTTTCTTCTCTTACTTTTATTTTTTATTTTTTATTTTCCCCACTTCTATAACTATATATATGATATTTCATGATTATTTTGTTCATTTTGGCTAAATCTAATTGAGTTCCCTACTTTTAGGTATCTGCATCGTTGCATATCTTTATGAATTGCTTGGTTCTCTGGGTATTCGTGTGTTTGCATTTAACGGATTGTATATTGTTCTATTATATAGTTATTTACAGGTATGAGGAGCAGGTGGTGCAGCACAAGTTCTGTTTGAAAAGATTAGATTACTTGGATTATTTACAACAGAGGCTAAAGACTTTTAAAGAAATAAAGCTGAATTGTATTAAGTTATTTCTAAAACTATTATAAATAAATCATTTATAAGGTTTATAACAAGAAACTGACTGGAAATAGAAAATCCTAAAAAACTAAGAATCTAGCTAGAAATAGGAAACATAAGGAGACTAGAGAATTAAAATAAATCTTAAACTTTAACTAGAAAAACACCAGAAACAATAACAGAATAACATCTAGAATTGAACTAGGAAAAGGGTGCTGCATAAATCCCCTCCTCTTAAAGATCGAGTTTTATGGTTTGCGAAGAAAACTCATCAGGATGATAGTACTCGAAGATACCAGCAACATTGAAAGTATTAGAGATATTCGTATCAGCTACGAAGATCAATCTTATTGATCCGTGTTTTATGAGATATTCATATAAACTGATTCACGAACCGCGTAAATATACTTGGCCCATTAGATAACCTAAGTGGCATTACTAGCCATTTATAGAGGCCATCTTTGGTTGTTGAGGGCTGTCTTCTACTCATCACCAGGATGGATTCGGATTTGGTGATATCCATTTCTTAAAATAAGTCTAGTGAATACTATAGTACCTTATAACATTGTCAAGTATATCATGAAGGCGTGAAATAGGGGAGCGAAACTGGATCGTTATTTTGTTGATGACACGACTGTCTACACACATTCACAAACTACTGTCTTTCTTTGGAGTTAGTAATGCAGGAATTGCACATGGGCTCATACTTCCACAAATCAATCCTTTATCTAACAACTCATTAATTTGTTTTGCAATTCTTTATGCTCAGAAGAGCACCAAATCGATGTGGTGCTGAATATTTCTCATAAAAGGCAATTCATTAGGTAAGTATCTAGGTGACAAATCAGCAAAACAAGAAATTAATTCCTGGACTTTAATTGAAATTTCTTCAGTTGTGTCCAATTAATTCTTAACAACTAAGGTTATCAAAAAATTTTGGCTCCTTGACCTGCTCAAGGAATTCTGGACTCTTAATAGTACTGAAAAGCCGGGTATCCTTTTATGTGACATAATTACCATTCTTTGACCGAGATTTCAGTACTAAAACGATCTTCTTATCATACCACCAAAAGATAAAATCATTATCTTGCCCTTTACAGGTAACATAAACATCATAGTGCCATGGTCTTCCCAAGAGCATATGACAGGCGTCCATCCACGTCACAGACAATTTCATCCTTCTAGTTCTTCCTGATCGACAAAAGAACTTTGCAAATTTCCACCACTTGAACTTCTGGTCCTTTCTTAATCCATGCTATCTTGTATGAAGATGGATGTTTCTCGGTTGCCAAGTTCAAAGCCTTCTTGAAAAGCTTTAGAAATCACATTCTCACTACTGTCACTAATCACTTTTACACACTCTATTCCAAATGTTACACCTGGTTCGAAATATTTTGTGTCATTGAGAATCATTTGGTTTCTTCTAAGCAAGTAATATCCTTTGAACAATGTTTGCCACTTCTTCTTTGACATCTCCATCTTCAATTTCAGCACCCTCATAAATATCTTCTTTATATGTTTGTTCTTCTGTAGCACCACCTTCATCAAGGTTAACAGCTTGCCTATTTGGGCAATTGTTCGAAAGATGACCTGGTTGGTTGCAATCGAAAGCATATCCTGAGATTAGGCTGTACATTAGGATCATTATTGATTCATTGTTGCTGTTGATTTCTGCCTTGGGTATTGGGACCCATGGTGGCCGAATTTTCCTCCTCATAGTGTAACCACTGCTGCTGCTAGAAGCCACTGAACCCCTTGGAGTGGAAGATCCTTCTTGACTTAGTCATCTAAAACTGTTTTGATGATGTATCGAAGACCTATTGATGTGATTTTCCACTTTCATTGCCAGTTAACTGCATCTGGTAAGGTCCAAACACCTTGAAGCCGCACGACCTTGAATTGTAAGCTTTAAGGCATCCAGTATAACGAGCAATTAATTAATTGATCTTCTGTCTCTGATAAATTAACACATGAATCGCTGGCTAGCTTCTCTCTCGCCATCACCAGAGTTGGAGTCACCAGAGTAGTGTCGTTCATTGTGTAGATCTGGTCATTGTTGTTCAGGCTAGCATCTTCTTTGGGTAGATAATGCAGCTAGCATCTAGGTTATCTGCCAAGTAGCTTTGTCAACTCCATCGAATCTTTGCTCAATATTTTCAAACCTTCATTTGTTGTTGGTGGCTTATTATCCACTAGAACTATCCTGAATCATCAGATCAAGGTGAAAATCCTTGTTCTGATACCGATTTCGATGCAACAAAAGTTTTGTTTGAAAAGATCAAACATAGAGCATAACTTACTCACAGCAAATGCTAAACTTTAAAGAATATTGTTATATTGTATTAAGTTCTATCTAAAACTGTTATAAATGAGTTCCTTTATAAGGTTTGAAAATCCTTACTCTGATACCAATTTTGATGTAGCAGAAGTTTTGTTTGAAAAGATTAAATGTAGAGCACTTAGCTTACTCACAACAAAGGCTAAAACTTTAAACAATAACATTGAATTATATTAAATTATATCTAAAACTGTTACAAATAAGTTCTTTTATAGGGTTTGTAGTAAGAAACCAACTTGGAATAGGAAATCCTAAGAAACTAAGAATCTAATCAGAAATAGGAAATATTAAGAAAACTAGAAAGGTAAAATAAATCTTAAACTTGAAGTAGGAAAAGACCAAAAATAATAAAATAATAACTCTTAAAATTGAACTAGGAAAAATATACTGGATCACTAGGTTCAGGGAATACTATACCCTTATGTCAAAAAAGGGAATACTATTACCTTTTCGCATCCACAGCACACCTGAGGACTCTCACCACACTTTAGGCTGAAATTCAGGATACTCTGCAACTAGAGTTACTTCATAACATATAGAAATAACAAAATTTATTAATCCCTTAGTACACCATTAGATTTTTACCACATTATTAATACTGATATTGTGCTAAAATCTCAGGCAGTATTGAGATTGATCAGTGGCGTGTTCAACACATTATGGTGAAATTTGTCTATTCAACACATTATGGTGAAGTTTGTCTATCTTAGTAATCTAGTTTATTCTTCATAATTATATTGATCTTTCTTTACGCTTGTGTAATTTTTTGTAACTTTCGAGCTTGCATTACTTTGCTTTTATTCTTATTATTTTTTTTTAAAACTATTCTTTTATTTGTTATCTTTTGTTGGCTTAAACCTTGGTGGTGTTCTTTAGTTGTCTGTCAAAAGAGTTTGAATTAGAGAACAATCATGTATAGAAGGAGCTTTTGAGCGAATGCTACTGTACACAATGCGGGTTTCGTAGAGAATTGTTTTGCTCCTCCCACATGACTTTCGAAAATTTTAAATTCTGTTCAGAGATATGGAGGTTCTTCCAAAATCCCATGGACAAGTGCTTTCTTATTTTCCAGTTATTTATGCTTCATGTTAAGCTAAGACGATCAACAATATTAGACATGACCGTTTGGAGGATTGAAGTTATTCTGCATTATCTCACTTATTTGGACCTTCTTTAATAGTTGATTCCTTTGGACTATGTGGGATTTTGGCCATGTAAACATCATGTATTCCTTACATGGAAAATATCTAATCAGACATTGGATTATTATCACTGGAGAAGAGTTGAACACTTAAGTTGTGGGATCTGGCTTTCTTGCCCTTTACTTTTCATCATACTTTTGCTTTCAGCTAAAATTTTTGTTCTCAAGTTTTTTCTCAATCAGTAAAATTCGAGTATTACTAATCTTCACATCCATACAAGACCTATAGCTGCCACATGAAAGTGAGGGCAAAGAAGTGCCACTTCACAGGACTGAATAATTTCATTGAGACCGAACTAGTAAGTGAAAGAAAACTAATAATTTTGTTGTATTTTCTGTTATGGTTCCCCACAAGCTGGAGCTACCTCTGGAAAGGGGCCTCTAGGGATAAGAGGCCTTCAAGTCTTATTCTATTGGCTACATTTTAGGTTTTCTGGATTTAAATAAATAGGAAAACTTTTGTGTGGATTGATTCTAAATTTGATAAATTCAAGACATTTGGTTTCAGACCTGAGATTTTTTTATTAAGGATCATTCTCTTTATTCTTGTGAGGATCTTGAGGACCTTATAGATATTTTGTTTGACATATAAGTTTTGTATATGTGTTGCAAGTCTTTGGTAGTAGTGAATAAATGGTATTTTTTCTCTCTCAAAAAAAAAAGCTGGAACTGCCTCAGACAAGCCCTACAACTTCCTTGTGGTTCTGGGAAGTGAAGAAATCGGAAGGTAATGGAAAGCTGAGTCTTCTTTCATGGGAATTTGCAAACCAGGTCATCTGAGTCTTCTTTCTTGGCTATGTATGGTTAACAAAATTTTAGCTCTTCTTTTGCTTCAGTTTCTTCTGGGAGCCAAATGCACTAATTTTATTTGTTTGCTGTACTACCTTGAGTTCTAAGTGGCGATAAGTTTTGTGTTTGAAGTTTCCAGTGCTGTTCCAGACTAGTAGTAGTCTCCATACTGTGTGTTTGCTCCTATCATCTTGATTTGTACCTGAACACATTCTTCTTATGTTTGTTTTTTGTTAAGTTTGTCCCCATTTCTATTTTTGTTGAAGATGCAAGAGATTATTTTGCTGTGTTTGGTTTGACTATTCAGTCAATGTTACTACTGCCTAGGATACTGTTTACTAGAAAATGGAAGTTTGACTTCAATTTTTTTTCCTTTTCTTATTCTTCTTCAATTCAACTTTGTTTCAATTTACTCCTATAATGTAGTGGAGTTTCGAGATATGTATGATTGCTTTCTCAGTGCAGCTTTAAAATCTGACCTAATGGCTGAACTTGACAAGGAGGTTAAATCGTTGGAAGAAGATAACTGGATGTTTGAAGGACCTCGTTCTCGTATCCACCTTATAACAAAATCAAGTAAGTTCCTCACCCTTTAGTATGATGATATCGATTCAGTTGGTTTTGTTGCATTTAATTAACTTACAACTGTATGCACATATTTTTTTTTTCCTCGTTCATGCTCTTGCTCCTGTTCCTGGACAAACTTTCTGTTGGGGAATGTTAAAATTTGTTATTATTTCCATTTATCATGTGCTTAAAAAAATTTCAACCAAGAAGAGTTGGCCAAAGGGGTAAAAAGCTTAATATATGTAGTAGTTTGTGAATAATTTCATTTTTCAAAATCATTTTGTGTGCATGGTTGCATGTTTGTCTGTTCTGTTTTGTCCATCAACAATGATTGGAATAATCAGCCAGTATTTTAGTAAATCAGTCATGTCAAGATAAAAGTTCATCACTTCAATGAAGTTTTAAGTTACTTTTTATTTTGCTGGCCCTCAACGTGCTTTGTAAGTTTTGAACCCCAACCCTATTGGTAAAGAGGGGAGGATGTAACTGACTCAGCTAAGTTGAGTTGCTTGAAATTTTAACTTACTATTTATTCTTTGAAAAATTCTTCCCATTGGATGGTAAAGATTTGAGATGGAGGATGGAGCTCCCTGTTCTTTAGAACCCATTGGGCATACACATAATGGATTGGGAACTTGCCTTCTCCTTGACTGAGTGCTAAAAGATTCAACTCCTGGTCCTTGTGCATCACAACTTTAGTGATTAATCTAGTTAGCATTTTCATTGGTTTCCTATTTAAAAGCACGCGTGGAACAACTTACCTTCTTCCCGATGAGAACATAGTTATTGCAGATTGGAAAAAAATCTTGAGATGCTTGATTGATGGTTTAACGCCACTCCAACCTTCAAATTATGTTCGAACTTAGCAGGATTTGTTGTCAATAAAAAAACAAATATCTAAAAGATTTCTGCCTTCAAACACTTTTATTCTCAAGGATTTTGCATCTAGCCATCTCTATCACAATTCTGTTTCTCTCTTTCTCAGACCCGTTTCTGCTTTGGAGAGCCTAACTATAAATTGGTATTCAATCTCGCATTTTCACAGAATTTGTTAAATTCATTTGAAGTTTATTTTTTCATATTATCAGATGTTAAAGATTTGATCTAAGCCCACTTTGAGCTTCAAGTAAGACCTTAAACTTGTTGAGAGATTGTGATTTATTGCTGACAAAATTTAACCCAAATCATTTTAGTCAAATAATCTAGAAGTAGCAGAAAGTACCTGTGGCAACTGAAAGATGTAAGTCACTAGTTCATGTATATTTATGTGAACAAACTGAATCTTCTGCATTGCTCTCTGGACTTTATTGGATGAAAAGCTTGTTTCTGTAACTTATGAGCATTACAGAAAGTTCAGAATTTTCAGTTTAAAGTGCCCAAATCTTCTATATCAAGCCCATTATTTGTCAAGTTTAGTATTGTGGACATAATAACCATTTGATTCTAATAAGGACAAAAAATTTTCGTCAACCTTTCTGACTTTAGCAATATCATTTCCATTGGGATGATAGATAGTGCAGAAATTTCCCTTGGGGTAGGGAGTTCTTTTTTTCAGCATTGGAACAGTCTTAAGAGGTTTTGATCCAAACGACGAACAAACAAGACATCAATGATAACCTTATATCTTCTTTCGCTTGACCAGCAATAGATTCCTTGTCTTCACCTTCACGATTTGTCTATTGCCTTTCTGTACTTTTGTTCTGATTAATCTATGCAAATTGTTGAAAAGATTTGAATCTTTGTCCATACAGCTGTTACAGCTAAATTACTGAATCAAGATTTTTCTTCAATTAATTGGACAACATGAAATGCCGTAAATGTATATCTCCATATACATCGATTAAATTTGCTTGACTATAGAAAATATTTCTTTATGTTCAAACTTCCAGCAAAATCTGTACTTAATCTTCCATTCGTATGGACGATTCTTGCTTAGATGGTTGGCTATTTTGCAAGTTACTCATGATGGAAAGTTTCCCTTATTTGCAGTCTTTAACTTAACCCTTTTGGTATTTTGCCTTCCACAGTAACAATTTTCTTTCCATCTTTAAACATTAGTTGCTTCTCCTTTTGTTTGGTTTAGAAAGCACCTTTTGTTTGTTTGTTAGATGTCATAGATGCCCTATGCTCTTGAGCTTGTAACTTGCTAATCATATCGGTTATTATTTTCTTAAGGTCATAAAATTCTCTACTTGTAGAAATTCTGTGACTCAAATCTAGTAGGAAAGTTGATAGTCTTTTATGGTCTTGAAATGCCTGCCCACAAAGCATCATTTGATTACAACTCCATGAGCTTGGCATAGTTGTCTTTGATTGTCTCGTCATCTTTTGTTCTCAACCTTTTAAATCTCTTCTGCGAGTTATTAATTTTACAGTTTTGTTTCCTTAAACTCTTCCTAGAGTTTTTCCATGCTTGCTTTGCAACTGTATTGCAATGATCATAAGCCATGAGAAAATTTTTTATTCCCACGGCCCGAAAATCACAGGTCTTCTCCTTAAAAAAGTAGGAGGTGCAAGCAAGAAACACCACTTGCTGTTATTCTCTCACTTTTACAAAAATTCACTAGAAAAAGTTTGATGAAACACAAAGTTTTCACAACCCGTTCAGAAGAAGTTCCGATACCATTTGTTGAATCTTATACATAAAAGATAACTCTCGTTATCAGAACTGTGTAAGCTCTAAGTTCAGAATTATCACTCATAAATAAGAACTCATAGTTCAAGGTTCTCTCTCTTACTTCATGTCTCATTTCCTCAAATAAATAAGGTGATTCAAATTGCAAGCAAATCACAAGAGGAACTACATCTTACTTTTCTTTTATACATATCTTACTTATTTTACAAAGTATTTTATTTATGGATCAAGTTACAGGATGCCATATATCTTTATAAGGCTTGACATTGCTATAAAAAGAGAAAAAATTTATTATTTTTAATGAAAAATCTCTTACATCTTTAGACATTAGTGTATTCTTGTTACATGTCCATGCAGCTCTTCTTTCCAATTTGGTAATTTTTGACGTGCAAAAATCAAGGGTATGCTTAGTACAATATTCTTATAGTTTTTATTTCCTAAATTCACACATTAGCATAATTTACTTCCTCATCCCATAAAAGCGTATAAGTTAGTTTACCATTAAAACACTATTTAAGAAATAGTAATGAAATGGGCGATGAAGTCAGAAAAGAATAAGAAGTTGTTTTTTAGTTTTTTATGGAAAATTGTTTTTGTTTGTACTTATTACTTGAAGAACACATATTATCATATAATTTGTATAAATAGAAACATGCATAAGCATATGAATTTAAGAAATAAAAACAAGCAAGTGCCTTCAGATGAAGTCACGTTCTTTTCACATTTGCCTTTGTCCTGGAAGGTGTGATTTGCGCTGAAAGCATGACTTTTTTAGTGCTTCTCTTGCTCTTCATTTTTTTACCCTGCTTTAGTGAGAAAATCAAACAGTGTGTTTCATTAGCCATTTGCTGTTATTTCTTATTCAGGCGGGTTTCTCCACAAGCAGCCGGAACTAGCAACAGACCGGAACGTTGCTCCTCCAAAATGATTCTGATTCCTTCGGAAGAGCAGAGTATTGTGCCAATGGTTTGAGAAGAGATTAAGCTCAATGATCAAGTTCATACGACTGGATGAATTTCATTGACTATCATATGTATGTGTCATCGCAATATTGTTAGAACATTACAATTTATGATTCAAATTTTATAGTTTGATATATTTATAATCGAAACAATTAAATGTCATGAGATTTTATTAGTGAATCAAAATCTATTTAAGTAAATAATAAAAATATAACTAAATTTAGTCAAATACTTGTATGATTTATTTTGATTTGATTGTAAGATGCAATATTTATACAAGTTACTTTGAAAACATAGTATTTTTAGTTGTTTACAATATTAGTATAAATTTTTTAAAATATTTTAATATTTCATTTCTTTCTTTACATATTTTATATGAATGATAATAAATTTTGATAAATGATCTATATTCTGAATTTTATGATTTGATTTAATTTATAATTTAAATATCAATTCATTAACTAAAAGTAGTGGTATGAGTCTATAAGTTAGATATTAAAAATTGCTTGTATTTCGAGTCTGAAATGATCCGGGTGAGAAGCCACTAGCAAATGTATGTATCATGCAGTTTAATCTGAGTGCAAGAGTATACCATGTCTGAACATGATCAATCGTCGATATTACTTGATACTAACGCAGTTCATTCACTTTTTATACGAACTGAATGAATGTTCCTAACAAAAACAAATTAGAGAAGAGTAAAAATTCCCACATGTACATGACAAATTGTTTCAAATTGTTCTTTCAAATTCAACAGGGTATTTAATACAAACGTCTTCAACAATGTAAACCATATATGGCCAAGTAAAGTGTTTGAGGTTAAGATCTATGCCCGTAATCTTGAAAGGGCAAAGAAGAACCATCAGATCTCAGCAGTGGTCTTCGAGTCTCTGACTGAAAGAAACTACAAAAGAATACACTCCATTTGTTTTCACAGCAGTTACATTTTAAGATTGTTTCAAGTTTTTGCAAGGTCTGAAGTTGGAATTCCAGATTGATGAGATAACAATCAAAAGAGTCGATAAGAAAGAAGAAAAGAAAGTAATAAAAGAGACAGCATTTGCATGTGCCCTAATCCCAGAAGGTATTTTCCAGACAGCAGCACCAATTGGGATTTCAGCATTGCTGTTTCTTGACATGATCAAACAGCTTTCATTATGTGGGCTTCCCTCTAATTTGCAGTGCAGGAATAAGTCAGGATCTCTAAACTCTACTCTTGCATACCCACTATCTTGCAACGGCTGTGGAGGAAGGAAAATCGGTTAGTGCTTTAGTCTCTCTTACCCAGTTATCGACCACTATATTCCAAAGGCCATACCAGCAGATGCAAAAGCTATGAGATAATTAGGACATACATACTGACCCGAAATGAACAATTTGATTACCAATGAGCACAAGAGATTTACAAAAATCGGGACAGTGCTCATATGACGTCAGTAGAAATTAACTTGTTTCTTTATTTCAAAAAAGGAAAAGAAATTAACTTGTTTGTCTGTAAGCAAAGCAACTCATTATATGATCTTGCAAGGGAAAAACACACCCAAGAGCTCAGTAAGAGATCAGGTGGTTGGTCCCCAGAGTATAATACATACAGCTGATGGTATTTTCATCCGACTGCCACACTGCAAAGGTGTAGACTGATGATATTTTATTTTGGAAGAAGATGAGACAGAGAACTCCCAACAAATAAGTATAGAAGAAAATGACAATCCATTTAACATTCTCTCAATTCTTCAATGTGCTACTTGACTGGGAAATGTGTGTTTTTTTTTAATATCATGCTAGAAACTATAAAAGCTATTTTGATAACCACTTGACTAATGTTAAGTATCTCTTGGAAATATATTCTGTTTCACGTACCGTGTACCGTGCATGTACTGGAAGCCCTATGTTGATTTCCCATTCATTCTCCTGCTTGGAAAAGATATTAAGACCAACATCCATGTGAATCTCAACAGCAGACCGGTTTGAAAGGAACGAAGGTAATTCCAAATTTGCATCCCCAAAAACAGCTACTTCAGTAAACACTGCAATATTTATATTCAACTTTAACCACCAGGGAAACAATATGGCAATCCTTTCAATGATTATCAAAACAGAATTTTTACTGAAACGAGACAAATTGTAGTTTACCACCACGTTGATAAAGATGTTGAAGCTCAAATGGGTCAGCAAAGACTCCAGATGGCAGCCTTTCAATGATTATAACTTCACAGAAATGAGTTGGTAGCTGAGATAGGGACTCTGGATGAGTATGTAGACTAATAGCTGAGGATATATGACGATGAGAACCTTCACCGGCTAGATTGCGGTGCAAAATGGATAATTTTGCAGCATTATTAAGATTATTTTGTAGTGATTCACAAGTGCAAGAGGGAAGATTTTTTGCGATGAAATCTTGGAAATCTGAATCAAGCAAGTGCTGATGTTTTGCAAAATAAGATTGCAGAATATATTCATTCGGAGTACACAAGGGACTGATATTTGAATTGAAGGAATCAGAACCTGTCTCGCACATTCCAACCTGAAAATTAAACCTAGTGAGTGACAAAATGAACCTAAGAATATTGTATCTCATCCATAAAAAATTAAAACAAAGCAAAAGGTCATGATTAGTGAGGAGGAAAAACAACAGCCATAGCTCTCAATATAAATCGATGGCGTGAGAAAATCGCCTCCTTCCTGACCATCCTCCCTCACAAGGTAAAACAAAAGCAAGAGGAGAGAACTTAAAGAAGTGGTTTTTAACGACTCAAATACAGTGCCATGGGATGTTGGCCGCTCCATGTTACAATCCTTCTCTGTATACAACAAATGAAAGCACAAACAATTCTCAATTCTCAAACGAGGATTGGATAACCTAGTAAGGAAACTCGAAACAGAAGATTAACATTCCTGACATATTTGAGACCTGGGATGAATAAAGTAACACAAACTACGAGGTAGAAAACTGGAGCTTGTTGACTGAGTCATTTCAAATTTAAATGGAATCTTTTCAAATCATAAGGATCTTTCCAAACTTAAGAATGTAGAGTTAACAAGCGAGAAGAGTTGATTTATCTCAAACAAAAAAAACAAGTGAGAAGAGTTGATATTAAGGAACAAAAACTGCTAGATAAGGAAGCATAAGTCCAAACAAAATCCAAGCTTCATTATCCCAACAAAATTAATGGCTGGAAGGGCCAAATTTCGAAGAACTCTCAGTGGGTCATCTTTGTATTAAGCTGAGGATTAAAGAAGTACTTGAAATGTTCAAGAAACGAGATCGCTAACTTACCTGGCTTAAAGAAGAGAAACCAAGCATAAAGCAGTCAGCGCCAACCAAGAATATGAACACAATTACCAGTTTCTGCTTTATAGAAAACTCAGTTCCCATAGACCCACTGAAAGAACGAAAGCATAGATCAAAAGTTACAATTACAACTCATCTAATAATCTATCAACAGAATTTAAATACACAAACAGACACCACAACCTTAAGAGTATTTCCTTATTAAGCTTAAGCAAAATGACGAAACCCAAATGAACAATGATTCAGAAGCATAACAGACATACGGATCACAGGTGCTGCGTGCTAGGAGAAGGGGTTGAGTAGGTGAATTTGTACGGAGATAACCCTTGCGTACCAATCTGTGAAATGGGTGAAGGTGATCCTTTAGATTGAGAGAGATAGGTTTGAGATGAGTAATGGAGATGGTCGAGTGAAACAGAAGCAGGAGAGAGAGGTGGCTGTTGGGAGACCGCCGGGGACGAGGTCGGCAAGGGATGCCGGCGGAGAAGCTGAGATATATATATATATATATATATATTTGTTTTAAAATGAAAAAGAATTTAAAATAATTAGATTATATTGAAATATTTTAAAAAATAATTTGTTTTAAATTCTTATTAAAAAATATCATTAATTAATTAATTTAACTATTTTACAGTTTACAATAAAATAAAATATCACAAATTAAACTGTAAAAATGCTAAATTTTTTGTAGTAAATAAATTTTTAATATTAAAAAAGATGAGATCTATAAAAAGTGACAAGTGTCCAATCTGAATGGCAAATCCTGTAATTAAAGGAAAAGGGAGTGGTAGATATGGTAATTTAGAGGAACAAAATCTGTCGTGACGCCCCAGAAGAGAGGCAACTTATTTTCTTCCTCCATCTATAAACCCCTTCTTCCTCCCATCGCCGTACGGTCTCTGCAAAATCCTTTTTTATCTTTCCCTTCTTTCTCGCCCAAAATATTGGGCCTGTTCTGCTCTCTTTCAGTTTGGGCTTTTTCAATATTATGGTTGACTGATTGATTGAAATGGATGGAGTTACCAGTGGCAACGCGGGCAACAGTGGTGGCGATTCCTCCACCAGTGGAGGCGGCGGAGGTGTGGCGGCGCAGCCCATGGCGATGCAGGGAGCGAACGCTCCGCCACCATTTCTGAGTAAGACCTATGATATGGTCGACGATCCCGCGACGGATGGGATCGTATCGTGGAGTTCCACCAACAACAGCTTCGTCGTCTGGAAACCACCGGAGTTCGCGCGGGATCTCCTCCCTAAGCACTTCAAGCACAATAACTTCTCTAGCTTCGTCCGCCAGCTCAATACCTATGTATTTGCCCTTTCTTTTCTCTTTCTTTATCTGGAATAGGGTTTTTTTGTGGACAATGATATGTAGTTTCTGTTTTATTTAAAAGGTTCATTTATTAAATCAGGTTTGCTAGTAAAGATAATTCACGTAGTTTCCTGGGGAAGACTAAGAGATTTATTATGACCATTATCTTACTCGAATTTCCTAACTGATGTTGTCTTTTTTTTATTTGATCTGCTTGATGATAGAACTTGAATGTCTGAAATCCTGAGAAAACAGTAGATGAGAGTACTAGCTTAGTTTTTATTGATTCTATGAATACTTATTGTGGTCAGTATCAATGAGCAATAAGGTAGTACTGTCATCCACTGTTTTATCTCGGACTTTCAAATTATCATGTTCAGAAAGCAGGATCTTTCTGGTATTGTCTAGTCATTGTGTATGTAAATGCTTTTGGTCTCTCTCTACTCCAAAAGAGTTGACTATCTGCTTAGTGTGATAACTAATCCTTAATATCCTTAAAAATTGGGCTTAAAAAATGGAAGGAAGAAATTCTCTGGTTGTTAGAGCTGTGGCTTGCAAGTAGTACATGGCAATTGTGGTTTTGATTGCTCAGGAAGTTGAAGGAGGTTTGATAATTTTATGATTCAAATCCCGTGTGGCAAATCTTCTTAGGGTTCTGAATTTATGAGTTTTAGAAAATCCCTTTTGGGTCAATGTATTCTCTGTCCTCATTTTCCTTCCCAGTTTCTGTTCATATATGAGATTTGATTGTTGCATAGAGTTACTTTGAAAAGAAAAAAAGAAAAGATTGTTGAGTGGGGTTTATAATAATGCCAAAGCTGCAGATTGCAAGTAGCTTAGGAAAAAAGTGTTCTTTCATATTGAGAGAAAAGCAATGCAGATTCATTGAAGTATAATGGTTAAATTCTTGGGTGCCTGAGATCTTTTCTGGATTCTGCATGTTTGGCATGCTGCTAACTAGGCAAAAGATTGTAGGATGATGTTGGATCAATTGAAAACAGGGAACCCTTAATCTGTTTAACAATTGATTTTCTATTTAGGTCCATAAAAAAGATAATTTAGTTATGAATTCGAATGGTGAATTTCACTTTGGCTCCGATATTTTCTATTTTAAGCTGTCATTTAAAAGTAAAGTGTGGTCTCAGAAAACCTACTTTTTCTCATGTTGAAATTTCATGTTTTCTTGAAAAGAGTTCTGCTTTCATATATTCTTGTAGCCTGGCAGTCTAATTATTCAAGTTTTTCTTCTGGTCAAGAATAGAAGTCACCCTCCAAGTCGAGAGAAGCACTGAGGATGAAATCTACTATCTCCTGTTATTTTGGATTTTTCAGAAAGAATACTTTACTTTTGTGTTCTTCTGGTTCTATTGGATAGAGTTCTGCCCTTTTGGTCCATAATTTTACCTTTATCTGTTCATTTTCATACAGGGTTTCAGGAAGGTCGATCCTGATCGCTGGGAATTTGCCAATGAGGGGTTTTTAAGGGGTCAGAAACACCTTCTTAGGAGTATTACTAGGCGCAAACCAGCCCATGGACATGTTCACCAGCAGCCGCAGCAAACACATGGACAGAATTCATCTGTGGGTGCCTGTGTTGAGGTTGGAAAGTTTGGTCTAGAGGAAGAAGTTGAGAGGTTGAAGAGGGACAAGAATGTCCTTATGCAGGAACTGGTTAGGTTGAGACAGCAGCAGCAGGCAACTGACAACCAACTGCAAACCATGGCACAGCGTCTTCAGGGTATGGAGCAGCGACAGCAACAGATGATGTCATTCCTTGCAAAGGCTGTCCAAAGCCCTGGTTTCTTGGCTCAATTTGTACAGCAGCAAAATGAGAGCAATAGGCGTATTACCGAGGCCAACAAGAAACGGAGGCTGAAGCAGGAAGGTATTATTGAGAATGAGCATGCCTCTGCTCCTGATGGACAAATTGTGAAATATCAACCCCTGATGAATGAGGCAGCGAAAGCAATGATTAGGCAGATTATGAAAATGGATTCTTCTTCTCGGTTGGAACCCTTTAACAGCAATCATGATAATTTTTTGATTGGCAATGGTTCTTCACCATCTTCTCCACTAGAAAGTGGTAGTTCTTCAAGCCATATGTCTGGGGTGGCCCTTCAAGAGGTCCCACCAACTTCAGGTCAGTCATGTTATGTGCCTACAACTTCGGGGATATCGACGCCGGTTCCTTCAGCTGGTATATCTGAAATACAATCCTCCCCACGTGCTGCAACTTCTGACAAGGTTCCAACTCAGTTTCCAGATGTGAGCATGCTGGTTCGATCACAAGAAGTACCATCCAACTCTGTTTCTCCCTCAGATGTAGTCATGTCAGAGCTTTCTCCAATACCTGAAATTGTACCCGGAAATATGGCTGATATCCCTACAGAGACTTACATGGAATCTCATACAGAATCTGGTGCGTTTATAGACCCCACTTCATTAGTAAATGGTTCCCTGTCCATTGAACTTGATGACATTGCTCCCGATCCGGACATTGATGCGTTGCTAGAAAATTCTTCCTTCTGGGAGGAGCTTCTTGTGCAAAGCCCCGTGCCAGAGGATATAGAATCAACATCAATGGGCAACGAAAACAAGGGAAATGAGACACAGCCAATTGGAAATGGGTGGAACAAAGTTCAGCATATGGATAAGCTTACAGAACAAATGGGTCTTCTTAAATCGGACACCAACAGGGTGTAGAATTTGTCTATATACCTTGCACAACGATCTTTTATGTTAGTAAGATAAACCCCAACAAAAATAAATTAGTACAGTTGTTAATTACATAGTCCTCTAGTTTTGGCGATTGGAAACCAGCTGACATTCTGCACACATTCACTTTGGCTCTGTTTTCGCACATATGGAGACATTGCCCAGTAACTTTTTTTTTTTTTTTTTTTTAGTTTTATAAATTCCTGTACTTGGCTGCAACTTCATGGGAGGGACAGGGGCTAAAGAACTCGGCAGGCTGAGCGGTGTCCAATAGTTGTGGCTCTTAATTTTCTGTCATTTGTAAAAGTTGATATGTTAGAGAGCCATTGTTGGTTTAAGAGACGACTGGTAATGGATTACTGTGCAAAAAATTTCATTTCTCTGATCCTCTTCCTGAACCTCTTTGTTTGGCAATTTTGCTTAATTATCTGCTTAGCAATTTAAGCCATGTGAAGTTGAAGATTTAGGACTGATCAATGTAGACCTGAGTTGGTATGAAGGTGTTTTCAATTTCAGCATGTATACTTTGTGATGAGATGAGTTTGGCTATTGTGATTATTAGGATGCAGTTTACACAAGAAAAAAATTTAAGGCAATTTCAGAAGGTTGATTGAGAAGAAATACAGAACAGCAACAGCCCCAAATTACAATACTCAACTCTTCCTTCCTTCCACTCTGCTACATCCCTACAATTCCTCAATCAACATCCTGGAAAAGACAAGAAGAAAACAATTGCAGTAAAATTCAAATCAAACCGCAACATGATGATCCCAAAATGTTTCTTAGAAAATTAGAATAGCAAGAACTATAGAGTATATATATATATATATCTGTATGAACTCTATCTTCTATTATCCAGAGTGATGGTTTTATTAAGAGCTAATACTGATCTGCTGCGCTTCTCACAACTGTTTTTGAGAAAAGGATGAAGAAGAAGGTCATCTACAGTGGCTCTCTTCCTCCAATCCTTCTCCAAACATACCCTGACAAAATTTCCAAACTCAACAGAAGCTTTCTCCGGCATCTCCACCCTGTCCTCGAAGCATATAGAGTAAGCCAAAGCAGCCCAGTCGGGCTTCTCCCCAACCCTAATCAATGGATAATGACCCACCATACATTCCAACACCACCACCCCCAGCGACCAAACATCCCCTGCAAACCCTGCATTACTGTTGCTCGATCCATCACTCCATCTTTCAGGATCCACCCTCTCAGGACTCATATACGCACATGTCCCCATACATGTCTCCCACGTACACCCACTCCCCGCCATGATCTTACTCACCCCAAAATCTGCAATTTTTACCTCCCCTTTCCCGTTTA